TGTATAAGAATTTTACTAATAATAATAACCTCAGGACAATTCACACAGCGCCATCTAGACCCAAGTTAAACTAGTTAAAGCTGGTATTACGAGTACTATATTTTTTTCGTAAATAAATATATTTTATACATAGAAAACAGCCAGACCGATACAAACAAACATACTGATGAATATAAATGTTTGTGCCGTGCGAGGAATCGAACCTGCGACCATCGGAAGTAAGGCGGTGTACTAAACCGCTAGACCACCAAGGCCGTCATAATATTTTACAACTGGTGTTTTTAAAATTTTGCGTGATCAGACAAACAAACAAATTCTATAATATATAAGTATGGAATGTTAGTATACATAGATTTTATCATTATGAAACCAAGTATAACTAACTTGGCGTGTGTGATACCTCTCGAGTTACTTTCTCTGGTGTGAAGCATTAGAAAAGCAGTCATAATGCCATGACATATATATTTATATATTATTAATATATGTCTACCACTAGTAAATGCAATTATAGTAGGATCGTAATTTTTTTTAATAAAATATATTCTATGAGTGTATTTTTGTTGTGCGACATTCTTTTAATATTTACTTAAAAAAATCCAAACCTTTTATTAATATATTCATTTTGAAAAGCTAACAATACGATAGTAAAATGACATTTAAAAAATTATAACAATATGTTTTTTTAAATCTTAGATAAAAATAAGACTTGTATCAAAATATAGACAGGTTCCCAGCTACATAGTATATGTTATGTGTTGATAATGTAGTTTTAGTATATATATAGGTGGATTTTTTAAAAATCGGTTTAGTATTTTTCAAGTTTATACATTACTACCGGTACGCCGCTGTATCACGCACTTATGGGAATCATAAATAATTTGAAAATAAAAAAAACTGATCATGTTTCTATTCATTTATCATAAAAAAATAATAAAATTTGATAGCCTCGGTGGCCTAGTGTTGTACCATACCGCTTTACTATCCGATGGTCGCGGATTCGATTCCTCGGATGGTATAAACATTTGTATTCATGACAAAGTATGATTGTTTGTATTCGTCTGTGTGTTAACTTTTTTTTATTATTAATAATTATTTACAAAAAAAATGTATATCTGTTGTATAGTACCCATAACACAAGCTCTGTTTAGCTTGGCACTAGATAGCGTTGTGTGAATTATCCTAAAACTCGTTATACTAAAATTTAATAACTAAATTAGTAGTGAGGTAGGTAGGTATATTTTGATTTAATCTACAAACTAAGAGTTAAATCTCTCGTCTTTATAATGTTGGTTTAGTCAGAACTGCGTGACTAGTTGTATTAAATACTTTATCCGTTAATTAAGATAACCAGTTTGCCGTGATTATAGTCATTAACTTCTATATAAATTGTATAATTAATTCAAGAGTTTATCATGTAACATGTTTAAGAATTAATCATATGTATATAGACATATATGTTGGTTATCTACGTTGTCTGAGCTTGTTTCAATATAATAATAACCTAGGACAATCATAACAGCGCCGTCTAGTCCCAAGCTGAAGAGAGCTTGTGTTATGGGTACTAGACAACTGATAGATGGAAACATTTTTTTTAATATTTTATATAGAAAACACCCAGACCGATAAAACCAATAATACTTAATGCAAATGTTTGCACCATGCGAGGAATCGAACCGGCGAGCATCGGAAGTAAAGCGGAGTGCTAAACCGCTAAACCATTGATATCGTCGAAAGAAAAATCGCTTGTATATGTACTTACTACTAGCTGTAGCCGCGACTTTGTCCGCATCGATTTTAAGTAGGTATACTTTACTAAAATTAAAGAATTTTTCTAAATAAAAGTACTTAGCCTAAGTTACTCCTTATTACACCAGCTACCTGCTAATAAAAGGCCCGTGAAAATCGGTCCAGCCATTTCAGAGATAAGCCGGAACAAACAAAAATTGTAAAAAATGATATTTTGGTGTATGTACTGTATTTATATTCATATGCATGTAGTAAAAAACGGTTATTTCAATATTACAAACAGACACACCAATTTTATTTATATGTATATATTTCGTGTATGTACTACTATACTATCGATATTACAACCACTGGGGAGTTAGTCAGAAATGCACATCGAGCTTTTGGTTTGCCGATAAAATTTGAACTCTTGACCTTATGATCTAACTCCGGGTAGTAGAATCACTAGACCACGATGCTCGTATTGAATACTATTATAAACTCCATGCTGACTGGCGCCATTTAATATATTACAATAGCTTACTCATCATCAAATATCATCTTGATTTCCAAGTACCTAGCACCATAACTGACTATGAATCACATACAGATTGAATGACTACATCATCAGCCAACTTTAACACGTTAAAGACCACATGCCCACCGGTGGGTGACTCCATGACAATATAACCGGCCCGCGTGCTAACGGGTGGGCATACGACATGTTTTACCTGGTACACCTGTGGGCATCATTTAAATTTCAATTTATATACAGTAGTTGGACTTGTTAATATTTGCTGTTCCCGCAACTTCGTCCGCGTGGAGTATAATTTTATTTTTCTAAAAGAAAAGTAGCCTAAGTTACTCCTTATTACATTGGCTACCTGCCAAAAAAAGTCCCCTCAAAATCAGTCCAGCAATTTTAGAGATTAGCCGAAACAAACAGACAGACGTACATAAGTTGTAAAAAATATTATTTTAGTGAATGTGTATTTATATTCATATGCATGTAATAAAAAAACGGTTGTTTCAATATTACAAACAGACACTCCAATGTATATATTTATTTTTTTATTTATTTTTTTTTAATTCGGAATTACATCCATATAGTGTTAGTAAAAAACTTATAAAACTATGTTAGTAACCTATAACATACAGGGATACATATAATTCATATATCTGTGTCCACGTCCAGAAGCACTGGGTCCACAATGCAACGTTATCCAGTGCCTCTGGAGCGGACAATCAGGTATATTAGCAACAGTTTTTAGGATGCTGTTTGAGCTCCCCCGAATTCTGGACATCAGTGATGCAGCTCTTTTACGCATTATGGCTTGAAATCCATCTACCCGCGCTGCTGCAAACATCTCTGATATATAACAGTATTTTTTTATTTTAGTTTGTATTACAGACAGACAGATATATAATGTTATTTTGGTATATGTATCGTATATACATATATTCATATGCATGTAGTAAAAAAACGGTTATTTCAATATTACAAACAGACACTCCAATTTTATTTATATATATAGATGTATAGATGACATATTCTCACGTAATTAACAATAAAAAAATGCTAGTAATATGAATTAATGAAACTATTGCTGGCAATGTACCATGTCAGGTTGATCTCCACGTGGTTCCCCCTGGAAACCATCGTGATAAATTCCTGATGAATTTGTCACGATGGGCTAACTGACCTGACCTCATGCTCATCTTATCATCCTCCACTGGTGCCCCGCCAGCGTATACCGTTACCGCAGGGGGGTGCACCATTCCATTATCATCCATTAAAAAAAACACTTATTATTATAAATATCCTGAAAACCAATCTTAATAATATAGAAAACGTTACAATTAACATTTATAATTTTCATTATTAGGCGAAGGCTAACACGCTAAGTTAATATCCTAACATCAACTTCAAATTATAAAATGTTTATTCATATAGCATGCTAGCTTTTGCTCGCGGCTTCGCTCGCGTTATATTATCCCCTTAGGGGTGGAATTTTAGTTAGTAGCTTTATGCATGCAAAGTCTCAGCCCGATCGGTTTAATATTGAAAAGTTTCATATAAACTTTCATCCCCTATTTTATCCTTTGGGGTAGAATTAATCAAAATCCTTTCTTAGCGGATGCCTACGTCATAACATCTACCTGCATGCCAAATTTCAGCCCGCTCCGTCCAGTGGTTTGGGCTGTGCGTTGATAGATCACTATGTCAGTCACCTTTGAGTTATATATATTTAGATTTTAGTCACTAAAAATATTAACACTAAAAATTTAATTTCATAAGTTAAGTTATTTGTGTTAATATTTTTTAATTGAGAAGAACTCGCGAACAAGTAAAGAAACTTAATAAATGTGTTTTTTTTAAGTTAACATTATTTACTTATTTAAGTGTCACACAGACCATCTAGACCCAAGTTAAGCTAGCTAAATTTTGTGTTATGAGTACTAGATAGCTGATACAAATAGATGTTTTCCGTAATACATACTAAAAATTCAATTGAGAAGAACTGGCGAAAGAAACAACACGAAGAAGCGAAGAAACTCAACTGATTGGTTTTTTTTTAAGTTAGTTAGCATTATTTACTTATGTTCTCATGTTAACTGAAAATCCTTGTATGTACACCTATTAGCACACACGTCTGTCATTTTAGTTATTGTTTAGTGTGTAGATAATAAATTTGCTCAGTAAATATGTTAACAGAATATTATTAATCGTCGGAAATACCGTGCAATCTATATTGAGATCCATCAATACTTCAGTCAGACGTTCGATTACTATAACGACGAGGTAATGGATCACAATATTTATTCAACGTAAAGCCTTCGTTTTAGTACAAATGGTAGACTGGTAGCGCCATCTCTGAACGAGTAGTAGATATGTGATTGACAACGCCATCTAGTAACAAGTAGTGGTATTAAGTGCCGTTAAATCATAACATTTTGATCTAATTAATCGGTAAAATCTATTCTAATAAAAAATATTATTATATGTCAAAAATGTAGTAAATATGTTTTATATCAATGTAAATAAACTTAATAAAAATGTTGATGTGAAAAGTTGCACCGTTCAGAAATTTAAATTTATTGCAAATAAAATTCATCCCGTCAAGTGATTAAATGTTAGTATCCGTTGTCACTGGCATGATTTAGAGCTTAGGTACGCATGACTCCTACCTACCTCTAATTTTTTCATTCGCGATGTCTCCCAGGTCCCGTGTGAGAAACGCATCAGTACTCGAGTCGAAACTCCGTACGTCCGTTCTAACAACAAGCCAGTTGTCGGTTGCACAGCGCTGTTTACGAACGCATTATTGGTTCCAGCGCTTTGAATTTCAAATACGCGAACGAACGTTCGATATTCGAAATACAAATTTTGTTTTAAATTCATTTTAATTTTCGAACAGAGAAGTTTTATATTTGTTTTTAATTGTGCCTGTGTTTGTGAAGTGAAATAAACATTATCAATCGGTTTTACTTTTAAAAATTGGATTTTAAAATAATGCCCAATATTGTACACGCAGCGATTTTATTTATACGACTGAAAAGTCGATAAAGTCGAACTTTTTTGGTGAGTTTATATCTGTAATAATAAATAGGTACTTAATTAATTTATGTTTTTTTGGCTAATAGATATAAAATTAAAAAAAAAACTAAAATATATTTTTTTATTCTAACCATAGATTCATAGCTAAGCTAATAAATAATTTAAATTAATAAGTTCAAAATAGTATATATTACAATTTTTGTCTTACTTTGTTATCAATATAAAAGAACATAAACAAACAATCAATAATAATGTAAACTATAATAATAAACAATTATACATTATCTTACGTGGTTATAGCATGGGAATGTTAAATATAAGATTATATTTTTATCATATTTAAACTGATAATAAGTTAAATTTCGTAGAGGTTATGTAAATTTGAATGCACTTTAAATTATTTTTAGTGCCCATTAGAATATTATGACAATGATTCATAAAAAAATAATGACAGTTTAATGTTCACTCAACTACAAGGAGTTACTTCAATTAATTAATTGTTTTGCATCAGTAATTAAGTAATCACTAATTACATGCTAAATCAAAGTAGGTGTCCAGAGCCAAAATTTATTGCTATTAATTATTTAAATTGTAAACTTACTTAAATATTTAAAAAAATGCAATTAATAACATAAAATGCTGCAGTTAATAACAATATCCATGATTCTTCTGTAAATTAAAAATATACAAGTATAATAAAAAAAAAAGCTTTTTATTATAGTCACATACAATACTAATAAAATAATTATCTGAAAAAGAAAAAAACAAACATAGTTGACATATATTTACTGTAGTTGCTTAAATAAAAAAAAATGGCGTGTATAGATTTAGTCGTAGTACCTACTTATATTTTAATTAGGTGTAAGAATAATGAATAAGAAAAAAATAATTTAGGTCGCCATTAATCTGTCGCCAATTAGAACTTGCGACCATCCGTAGTAAGGGGTTGTGCCAAACCGCTAGATCACCGAGCCGTAAAAGATTATTAGATTACGAAAAAAAGATAAAGTTCTCGTGGACTATTGACTGCCGCCGCCCAATATAAAAATGTGCGTTATCAGGGTGCAATGTTTATTTGCGTGTCTCACCTTATCGCGCGCCTTGACCCCGGTTAACAACATGACCACAGATACTATAGTTAAACCTAACGGACGTTTTGATCGACTACCGTGTAGTTCCGCATACGACGTTATCAAAAAGATCAACAAAACATAAAAATATGCAAAATCTGAACATTATTATATTTGAATTAAAAATAAATATATTAATATGGTAGTAGTTGGATGTTTGTTACTCTTTCATACAAAAACTATTGAACGCATTTTGATGAAATTTTACAGTAATATAGCTTACGCATCGGAATCACATTTTTTATTGAAATTTAACGTGGTAGATTACGTATTAAGTAAGTATTAACGATTACCTAATATATATAAAATATAATATAATACATAAGTATTTATATAGTCATAACTTAGCATACATATCCATAGCTCCAGAGAAACACATTAAACAATTTAAACTTTTGACATAACAAATAGCGGCTGAAATGAAATGAATAGTATATGAAGTAGTTCTTATACTCGTATTATAATATTATATTGTAGAGTAGATTTGTTTGCTTGAACACGCTAATCTCAAGAACTACTGGTTCGAATTAAAAAAATATTTTTGTGTTAGATAGTTCATTTCTTGTTCATCGACTTTACAATCGGCTTTATAACACTACGCTACGACCAATAACGCGAAGCCTCAGTGAAAAATGTTCCAAAAACGGGGAAAAATACGTGCTGTGCGAACGAAGTCGTAGGCGCAGCTAGTATATATATAAACTCAATTAGGGGAAAAGGGATTGTTAGTAATGTGGACTAAAAACCATATTGATAGCAATGTACCATGTCACTTTGACCTACACGCAGGCGGCTGCATCATTCCATTATCATCCATAAAAAATATTTGCATATTACAACAAGAAAAGCAGGAGCATACAAATTCAAACATTTGCTTCGGCTTTTCCCGTGCGAAACCGCTAATCTATACATAAAAATAAAATTGGTGTGTCTGTTTGTAATATTGAAATAACGATTATTTACTACATGCATATGAATATATATACGGTATATACCAAAATATGTTTTTTTATAATTTTTGTCTGTCTGTCTGTCGGTCTGTTTGTTCCCGCTAATCTCTGAAATGGCTGGACCGATTTTGACGGGACTTTCTTTGGCAGGTAGCCGAAAAGGAGTAACTTAGGCTACTTTTATTTTAGAAAAATAAAGTTAAATTCCACGTGGACGAAGTCGCGATAACAGCTAGTCTATACTAATATAAAGCTGAAGAGTTTAAACGCGTCAATCTCAAGAACTACTGGTTGAAATTGAAAAATTATTTTTGTGTTGGATAGTCCTTTTGTCCGCTTCAAACTATATAACATTACGCTATGACCAATAGGAGCGGAGCTGCAATGAAAAATATAGCAAAAGGTGCGGAAATGAAAACGCAGACGAAGTTACTCGGGTCAGCTAGTCGTTTATAAAAAAAAACAATAAGAAACCTTGTTAGTTTTTTTTTAATTACCAAAGGGGACAAACGAGTATGCGGCTCACCTGATGGTAAGTGATTACCGCCGCCCATGAGCACCCGCAACACCAGGGGAATTGCAAGTACGTTGTCGGCCTTTTAAAAAGGAATAAGCTCTTTTCTTGAAGGTTTCAATATCGTATCGGTTCGGAAATACCATTGCTGGAAGGTGATTCCACAATGTGGTTGTGCGGGGCAAAAAGTTTCTAGAAAAGTAGCAGATCTGGCGAAAGTTTAAAGTGTTAATTTCTTTAAACGTTACTCGTGATTGCCGGTCATAATCGGCGGTTCTATGAATTAATGTACTGGTTTATTGTAATACATCATATATGATATACAGTTATCAAATAATTAACACCTAGTGTTATTTAAATTATAGGCAATTACAATCTCGATAGAAAACATTCCATTACGAACATTATGACTTAACCCTTAATTCGAACGAGACTTTTGTAGCAAAACAAACTGTTTTTTTTAGTGGTCATATTTTTGGATTTGAAGTAGGTAAGTACAGGAAAAGTACTAAAATTTGTGCTGTACAGTTTTTGATAAAACACATGTCCGTCACAGCGGATATTGTACGTATTTTTCTCAAAACTATATAGTTCAGTAGATTTCTTTAAATTAGTTGTTCGTTACACTGGACACTATCGAATTAAGGATTAATAATAATAGTACATATATATACATAATACATAATTAAATTATAATACAAACTTTATATATTAGTGCTATTTAGTTTTTTACGTCATTTTTTAAGTCTATAAAAGGTATGTAATTGAATTATTAAATTATTATAGAGTAATAAATTATATCACCATCGGAGGGCACCACAAAGTATGAGTGCATAAGGATTTCTATACTGATTGTCGCATGCCTTCTCCTTGTTAATGTGTATTTATTTAAAACAACAATACACAAGCTTCTCGCTCATTCTTATTGTGATGAGTCTGTGTTCCGAATGAGTGGTAGAATAAAATAATATAATTTATTTTATTTCTCTACTTCACTGGTTTTGAAAGAACGATTTTCTTTAGAAAAATCAATATTTATTAATTTATTTTAACTCTATTTAAAATAAATTAATAAATATTGTAATCTATCTTACAATATTTATTAATTTATTTTAACTTAAGATCCCTTACAGAACCGTACATCCCTAATCTCAAACCCGATCTGTAAACTAAACTAGAGGCCTTTGACATTCGGTAGAACAATAAAATGTAAACGCGATTTTATTGTTTTTCCCTTAGACTTCAAATAAAACAGTTTTTGTCGCGTGGGCGAGGAAGTCGTTACTTTTTTTTATTGTTTTTTATCGGTCAAGTATACACATATAATTTTTTTTATTGGTATCGGGCAAAGGAAATGTACGTTACGAAATTTAGTAATACACGTGACTATTGCGAAAAATAATATAAACTTATATTAAATCCGCTTCCGGTTTTGATTACAATAACATAAAAAATTACAGCTTTCACTTAGGTATTTCCGGCACTTCTGTCTATATTTCTAAATCTTTTCTAAATCTTGGCCTAAGATTTTCGTGACTAAGAAAATGGTCATGAGTTTAGGCTGACATCATAAATTTTGTGTCTACCTGATTTCCCGGTAATGAAAGCACCGTTAACAAATTCTGGCTGACACCTAAAAACTTTGTGTTTTCACTAACTGACACTCCGGTAATGAAATCACCGTTAACAAACCAAACTGTCTGAGATACAACGGTAGACTAACCTTCAGCAAAGTTGTATTCACTTAAAGGTAGCAGAATGTATACGTGTCAGGTACTTTCACGATGTACTAAATACGTGTTTTTGATTTGTTATAAACATTAAGGTATGATGGAAATAACGTACCAAACGAAAAGAAAAGAAAGTCTCTGACTATCCCATCTGGTATTACAGTCGTGAATATAAAGTCAATCATTACGAACCAAACTGTTAATACATACCTATCCGCCATTAAAATTTCATCACATAAAATTAGTCATTAAGATACCAAACTAACACAATTATTCATAGTAACACACTTGAATGTGTGGCCACTTGATGTTGATGTAAATTAACACTAATTAGGCCATGCGGCTTTGGTTACACTCTCATATAAATGCTGTTAATGCAATTTTACGGCCATTTTGTTTGTCATGCACTAAACACTCGAGGGAAACTGTACTAAGTCACCTATATAGATACTAAACTTAATTTTATAACTTTGTACGAATTTATTAAATTTACTATGTTCTCGGCAATTGTAACAGAAAATATTGAAATATGTACTTAACTACTACAACTACTAATTGAAATACTTAACTTTGTTTTACTTGCATTTTTGCAGCCATACAACTGCGCTTATGTAGGTATATTTCAGTTTCAAGATCAACATAATTGTTAAAATGTTAGCCTTTGCTACTCAGCACTAACAGAAAAATGTCATTACTAATA